TGTGTTGGGGACACCAGAACCAGCACACAGTGCTCCAAGTGGGGTCTACCCTGCAGAGCAGAGGGGCAGAATCACCTCCTTCAGAGACCCCCCGCACCAGGGATGGAACAGGGGAGAAGTGGGGTGACACTGTGGGACATTTCAGTAGCATCCTTGTTGGAGCCACTTTAGTACCTGGAGTGAAAGTCCTTGTTAGGGGAACTGAGGCACGGGGCTGGTGGAGGTTTCCTGCTGTAGGTGAGCAAACTGGGAGAGGTTGGTGTCTTCATGTTCTGCACTTTGGGGTCTTGCAGGTGCACTCGTCCCTCTCTAGCCGTGGGTCAAGGCTTTACCTGCAGCAGGGACTCCCCTCTGGGGACTCCTCAGTGTCCTGTAGCATAGTAGCATCTGCTGGGGGTCTGGAGCAACCTGCTCTAGTGGAAGGTGTCCCTGCCCGGGGCAGGGGTTGGAGCTGGAGGAGCTTTAAGCTCCCTTCAACCCAAACTATTCTATCATTCTGTGATTTATTCTACAGAGGAGCTCCAGTGTAAGTCAGGTCTTGCATGTGCATGTGTGTATGTGGCTTGACTGCATTTGAGCATCAGTCCCTATAACCAAGAGGAGGTGAAGTGAGCATGGATAAGTCTGAGCCGAAGGAGGATTTGGGAGCAGAACGTGGTGTTTCAGGAGCCATTGCGTTTGCAGGTTTAACACCTCACCTGGGTTCCTGCTGCCACACTCGGGATCGGTGCAGGAGACCATCTGACTGCTTTTGATCCCTCGTTCAGCCATGGGACAAGTCACACCACATTGGGAAACCCATGAGGACATCCTTGTGCACTGCGAATGTGGAAGGATGCAGGGATCTGGTGCAAATGGGTTGTGCCAGTGTTGTGGTAGAGCTTCAAGGGACAAGTCTCTGGGACAGGCTGGCCTGAGGGTACTTGTCTGTGTGTAAGGTCAGGAGATGTCTGGTGGTAGTCTGACCAACATCTGTCATTTTGATGGTTCAACAAGGAGGCTGTGGGGTCTTGCTCATCTCCCCTCATTTTCATGGGCTCTCACTGCATGTACAGCAGGTTATGAAGACATGAGATGGCATCTCGTTGGTGCTGGTGTATGAAGCTGTTGAGATACGTCCTAAAGTGATGTCAGGGTCATTCTCATGACCCTGTGTGAGAGGTGTCTGCAGTCACTAAATGCAGTGCAGCACACGTTTCTCCACACCATTCAGTTTGTCATCCTGGTGATGATGATAAATAATGACAATTAATGATAATCAAAGTAAACCAGGGCCTGGCCATAGCCTCAAGCGTTGACCGGGGTCTCCAGACTCTTGCTGTGGGTGCACTCTCCAGCATGGTGGTGGCTGGTACCAGCATGGGCTTTGCCAAATGCCTGGGCCAGCTGGACTGAGGTGGTTCCATCATGTCCCCAGCAGAGCCCTTCAGGGTGGGCAAGGCAGAGCAGCTCCCATGTGGAGGAGTTGCTCTCCACAGCATCTTCCACCATTACTCTGAGCCTCAGACCATAGGACTTGCTGCCGGGTGGCAGAGGAATCATTTCCATGGCTTATAGTTGGTTCTTCTGGTTCATACAACCCATAATGATACTCTGAAGAGCAGGGTCTTGTATCAGGGGCTTCTTGGATGGGGCTTGGAGCAACCTGGTCTGGTGAAAGGTGTCCCTGCCTGTGGCAGGGGGTTGGAACTGGATGAGCTTTAACTGGAGGTCCCTTCAACCCAAACCATTCTGAGATTCTATGATCCTTGTATTTGAGAAGAAACTGGTTAGATGGGACCTGTTTCTGGAGGCATTTGCAGTGGGCAACTCTCCCCTTTCCACCTCTGCTCCTGCTTCCCAGTCCCATAGGGCCACCTCAAAGCATTGAGCCTCTGTCTTGCAATCAGCAAGCTCTGGTTGAGTCTCCACGTTGGTATGGACCAGGCTGGCCTCTATCTTCTGCTTACCTAGGGAAGGAAAACAAGGTGATGGCTTCACCTGGCTTGTTTGGTCCTGCAGCTTTGCAAACCCTCTGCAGCTCGAGAGCCCTCTCTGGCAAAGGAGAAGTGAAACAAGGTGACTTTTGTGAGCCTGCTGCTGCTGAAGACGCAATAAATGAGGCGACTGAGCGGCACGGGAGCAATTTGCTGCCACAAATGGTTTTTCACTCTGAGTGGAGTGAGAAGATCTCCAGAGTTTGACCTCGGGGAATGAAATTATTAAACCTGGCATGGGAAAAAATGATCCAGAGCTTTTAAACCTCCTCCATCCATCCATCCATCCTTCCATCCATCCCCAAACATGCTGCTGCCTCTTGCCAGAGCCACAGCATCGCGCTACTGAGACGCGGACAAGTGTCTGCTGCTGCCCGTGGCTGCCAGGCAGCTTTCATGTGACCATCGGGCCCTCTGCAGACATGAATCAAGCTGCTTTCGAGGGCTGGACCCAAACCAGGGCTCCACTTGTGATTAAATGCTTGGAGGAAGCAGCCAACTGGCATGGGAGCCTGCAAGCCGAGCGGGGCGCACGGAGGCGACTTCATTTCTTCATCCGCAGTGTAATTCATGAGGATGCTGCAAGCAGGGAAAAATGAAGTCATTTTCTCACCCTTTTGCTGTGAGAAATGGTGATTTCTTCTTCTTTTTTTAAGTTTTGTGGATTTCCCCCCCCCTTTCTTCTGGGTTTCTGCAGTTTCCAGCCACACTGTCCCTGTTCTTGCGTGGTTTGCTGTAAGCTCGTGTCCTACGTGGCTGGGAATATGGGTTTGCTGACTCGTGAAGAGGTTTGGAGCAAGCTATGGGGACAGCGTAAAGACCTGATGGCCCTGCCTTGGCAGGAGGGTTGGACTAGATGGTCTCCAGAGGTCCCTTCCAACCCTAATGATTCTGTGATTCTGAGTAGGGGAAAGGAAGGAAAATGCTTCTGTCGGTCCCTCCAGTGGCATCCACCCCAAAACTAATGCAAATCTCCACCTCTGCAGATGCAACGTGGCCACACAGTGCTGTGATTGGACTAGGTGGTCTGGGCAGCTGCTGGCCACCTCCTTGGAGAATCAAGTGCTTGAAGCCATCAACTCAACGAGGAGCTGAGGGCTGCTGTCAGGCTTGTAGGGATTGAGGTGGAAGGGGACCATAAGGATCATAATAGACCTGTAGGGCTGCCCTGAATGACAGCCACAGGGTCTGGCCATGGTAGAGCATTGCTTGGGTCTATCCTCAGTTGGGCTTGTTGAGCCTGGAGAAGAGAAGGCTCCTGAAGGGGACACCTTAGAGCAGTTCCAGGGCCTAAAGGGGCTCCAGGAGACCTGGAGAGGGGCTTTGGACAAGGGCCTGTAGGGACAGGCCAAGGGGAATGGCTTGAACCTGCCAGAGGGGAGATTGACATGAGCTCTGAGGCAGAAGCTCTTCCCTGGGAGGGTGCTGAGGCGCTGGCACAGGGTGCCCAGAGAAGCTGTGGCTGCCCCATCCCTGGCAGTGTTCAAGGGCAGGTTGGACACAGGGGCTTGGAGCAACCTGCTCTAGTGGAAGGTGTCCCTGCCCGTGACAAGGGGTTGGAGCTGGAGGAGCTTTAAGGTCCCTTCTAACCCAAACCACTCTGTGATTCTATGGTCAGGAGCTGGAGGAGGGATATCAACCCACTGCAGCGTTTTAGTGTGGGTTTTCCCTCGGTGGAAGGAGAAATGCATCAAGCAGGTGGCATCTCCAGCTTTGGGAAGGTGGGACAGCACTGGCCAGGCTCTCTAAACCACTGCTTTGCCCCAGGTGACAGAGCAGAGCACGGGATGGCCATAAACTAAACCACAAGAAGCTTCACCTCAGTATGGGGAAGAACTTCTTTATGTTGAGGGGTGTCAGAGCCCTGGAACAGGCTGCTCAGGGGGGTTGTGGAGTCTCCCTCTCTGGAGACATTCAAACCCCACCACGGACATGTTCCTGTGTGACCTGCTCTGGGTGGCCCTGCATTGGCGGGAGGGGAGGGGGGTTTGATCTCCAGAAGTCCCTTCCAACCCTCATGATTTTAGCATCATTGGGGTGGCGAATGCCACTGAGTTCATTGTGGGGACCCTCCGCTACCCATTGAGGAATACTTCTAGCAGCATAACAGGCTCAGCACCCACCAGCTCACCTAAATTCACACAGTGGGCAGCAGGAGCTGGGCCCCATGCCTTGGAAAACAGCCCTTTCCCCTCTCCCTGCATCCCCAGGGCACCACAAGGTTTTAAAAGACCCATAAATACTGCAGGGAGCGTAAATATCTCCACTACCTTCGAGCAACGTCATCGCCCAAACTACCTCAAATCCCCTCGATGACATAACCCCTTAAATCACCTTAAGCTTTTAGTGGGGCTTTGAGCACTGAAACCACCAATAACAAACACACACGTTCATGGAAGAGCTTAAGCTCTGGAATGTCCCCCCTGGCTGCCTGGGGCTTGGGAACACATCACAGGAGAGCAGGAGCTGGGCTGAGGTGGGAGTTATGGGGCCTGGGTTCCTGCATGTCCAGTTGGGGTCGGAGCTTGGTCCTGCAGGACCAGTGATGCTTTTGATGTGAACATTAAGGATGGCTGAGCTGGGCTTCCTGGCCAAAGCCCTGTGGGTTGTGGTGGGCATTATGGGCATGGTTTGTCCCACAGATCCTGCAGCAGGATGGCCTCGTCCTGCCAAAGGGTTATAGAATCATACAATGGTTTGGGTTGGAAATGACCCCCAAAAGCTCATCTAGTCCAACCCCCCTGCAATGAGCAGGACATCTTCATCTAGATCAGGTTGCCCAGAACCACATCCAGCCTGGTCTTGTATGTGCCCAGGGATGGGGCATCCACCACCTCTCCAGGCAACCTGTGCCAGTGTTTTACCACCCTTACTGTAATTGCTACAGTCCCTGATGAAGAGTCTCTCTCCAGCATCCTTGTAGCCCCCTTCAGACACTGTCCCAGCTCTTCTCCCGAGGAGGGAGTAGAGCTCTCCCAAAGACCATCCCATTCTCCCATGTAGCTTCTCCTGGTTCTCTTTCAGGGCCAGACGTGTTTTGTGACTTCAATGGCAAGAAGTACAGCCCGGGTGAGAGCTGGCACCCCTACCTGGAGCCACAGGGGCTGATGTACTGCATCCGCTGCAGCTGCTCCGAGGCACGTCCCGCCGAGGTCTATGCGTGGTGGTGGGGATGCTGCTGCACTGGCGCATTGGCTTGGCAGCTTTAAAGCAAATCAGTTCTGGTGTTGTCTCATTTGACATTTCCAGTCCCATATGGATGATGGTTTAATCTCTTTCCTTTTGGAAAAGCCCCCTGTCCCCATGGAGGTGGTGGGTTGACCTTATGAGGGAGCTATCTCAGTAGCGTTGGTGGGCTGTGGGCTCAGGGATGCTGTGGGACCACGAATGGCCTTTGATGATGAGACCATGAGCTGGCTGGGTTTGACCCGGGGATGGAGATGTCCTTGGCTGGGTTTGACTTGGGGATGGAGACCTCCTTGCCTGGGTGAGCTACACCAGCACAATCTGTTGTGATAATGTGGCCATCATCCAACATCTCCCTCCTCTTGCAGGGGTGAACATGTAGCTGAATGAACCTTCTCTCTCTCTGTCTCTCCCCAGAATGCCAACATCAGGTGCTCCCGGATCCAGTGCCCGGCTCTGCAGTGTGCCAGCTCTGTCACGGACCCCCAGCAGTGCTGCCCACGGTGCCTTGGTAGGTGGACATACCATGGTGGCCGTGGTCCTGCAGGGCACACCTCAACTGCAGTCATGGAGACACAGAATCAGAGAATCCCAGCCTCGTTTGGGTTGAAGGGAACTTAAAGCTCCTCCAGCTCCAACCCCTGCCCCGGGCAGGGACACCTTCCACTAGAGCAGGTTGCTCCAAGCCCCTGTGTCCAACCTGCCCTTGAACACTGCCAGGGATGGGGCAGCCACAGCTTCTCTGGGCACCCTGTGCCAGCGCCTCAGCACCCTCACAGGGAAGAGCTTCTGCCTTAGATCCAACCTGAACTTCCCCTGTTCCATTTTGAACCCACCACCCCTTGTCCTGTCACTGCAGTCCCTGATGAAGGTCGCTCTTCTGTCTGACACTGGAAGCTGCTCTGAGGTCTCCACTCAAGCTTGTCCCTTTGGCTTGGGTTGGTGGGGAAGTTACTGAGCATCCGTGAGACACCAGGGCCTGGCTCTCATCCTGTTGCTTCCTCATGTTCTTTTTCAGAGCCACATTCCCCTTCTGGCCTGCGGGCACCCATCAAGTCCTGCCAGTACAACGGGACAACCTACCAGCAAGGGGAGATGTTCACCACCAGCGAGTTGTTCCCCAGCCGCCAGCAGAACCAGTGTGTGCAGTGCAGCTGCTCTGTAAGCTACCAGCGAGCCCAGGGGAGCCAGGGGGGGTCAGGGCCTGCTCCTGCACCCTGCAGTGTCCCACCGGGGCACAAACCTCGCGAGGGTGCATCCATGGTGGGGTGGTTTGTCATCAGGATCAGGTTGTCAGTGCAGGAGGTTGAGCTTCCTCTGAAATAGTGGTGGGTTCTCCCTGCCCAGTGACTAAGGACCACCACAGAGATGGGTGCTTCCCTCTCTGCCCAGTGCTTTGTCTGGCCTTGACCCCAAACAGGGTGTGCTGCTAACATCCACTAGCCCTGAAGCACAAAGCACTTGCCTGGATCTCCTCCAGTGGGAACAGCAAGAACAAGCTGCTCCAAGGGTGGGTTATTCACTGGAGATCCCACAGGCCAGTTCTGGGGGTCCTTGGGGTGGGCAGGAGACAGCCCTGTCCCCACTGAGCACATCAATGGGTGCATTTGCCTGCTGTGAGGACCAATGCTCTGGGGCTGTCCCCACAGCATCCAGCCATCCCACCTGCCCCACTGAGGCAACCTATGGTACATGGACAGCAAAGAGGACAACCAGGAGCCTTTGCACGTGTGTTCTTGCTGCAAAACAGATGGAATTTGTGTCTGGGAGTGCTTAGCATGCTTGGAAGGCAACATCAATGTGAGGTACCAGCTCTTGGGCTTCAGAAGTTCTTGGGAAGTCAACTGGTGAGATTGAGCTGAGCTCCATAAAGGATTTGGTGACTCCAGGCTGCTGGGTGCCCAGATCTCATGATGCCACCAGCAGCCAGCTCCTGCATTGCATGGCACCACCAGCACAGCCCCAGCCAGATGGACAGGGGCACTGGGGCCTAGCAGAGATGACAATGAGCAGGCACCAGCCACTGATCTTCATCCTGTTTGCTTGGATTTAAGTGGAAGCTGAACCCAGAGCTGAGAAGTGCTGAGCACCAGGAGCTGGTCTCATCCCTGCAGTGTGTTCCCCAGCCTCTGGGCCGCTGTGTGCAGAGCTGTGCCCAGGAGAAGGGCCGTGCATGTGCTTTCCAGGCTGTCTACACAAAGCATCTGCAAGAAGCATCTGCCTTTGACACCTAATTGCAATGACTTTGCAGGTCCACTGCGTGTCCTCGATGGTCCTGCCTGCCCTACCTGAGGGCTGCGATGGTGGCCAGGGTGCTGAGCGTTCCTCAGCATGCATGGGGTGCCCGTTGCCAGCACTGGAGGGATGTTCCTGCTCCATGAATCTCCAGCAATGCCGTGAGACAGGGCCTGGCTCTGCTCTGCCCGGTGCTCTTCCACAGGCTGGGATCCTGTGGAACCCCATCAAAACCAAGTCCTGGCAGGGCTGCCTCGGGAGCGGGCAGCCTGGCCA